ACCTTGTCAAAAAATTGAAAATTTTTTAAAATTTTGCACGACCCCCTACCTTGTCAAAAAATTGAAAATTTTTTAAAATTTTGCACGACCCCCTACCTTGTCAAAAAATTGAAAATTTTTTAAAATTTTGCACGACCCCCTACCTTGTCAAAAAATTGAAAATTTTTTAAAATTTTGCACGACCCCCTACCTTGTCAGAAAATTGAAAATTTTTTAAAATTTTGCACGACCCCCTACCTTGTCAAAAAATTGAAAATTTTTTAAAATTTTGCACGACCCCCTACCTTGTCAAAAAATTGAAAATTTTTTAAAATTTTGCACGACCCCCTACCTTGTCAAAAATTTGAAAATTTTTTAAAATTTTGCACGACCCCCTACCTTGTCAAAAAATTGAAAATTTTTTAAAATTTTGCACGACCCCCTACCTTGTCAAAAAATTGAAAATTTTTTAAAATTTTGCACGACCCCCTACCTTGTCAAAAAATTGAAAATTTTTTAAAATTTTGCACGACCCCCTACCTTGTCAAAAAATTGAAAATTTTTTAAAATTTTGCACGACCCCCTACCTTGTCAGAAAATTGAAAATTTTTTAAAATTTTTGCACGACCCCCTACCTTGTCAAAAAATTGAAAATTTTTTAAAATTTTGCACGACGCCCTACCTTGTCAAAAAATTGAAAATTTTTTAAAATTTTGCACGACCCCCTATCCTGTCAAAAAATTGAAAATTTTTTAAAATTTTGCACGACCCCCTACCTTGACAAAAAATTGAAAATTTTTTAAAATTTTGCACGACCCCCTTGCCAAAAAATTGAAAATTTTTTAAAATTTTGCACGACCCCCTACCTTGTCAAAAAATTGAAAATTTTTTAAAATTGTGTACGACCCCCTACCTTGTCAGAAAATTGAAAATTTTTTAAAATTTTGCACGACCCCCTACCTTGTCAAAAAATTGAAAATTTTTTAAAATTTTGCACGACCCCCTACCTTGTCAAAAAATTGAAAATTTTTTAAAATTTTTCACGACCCCCTACCTTGTCAAAAAATTGAAAATTTTTTAAAATTTTGCACGACCCCCTACCTTGTCAAAAAATTGAAAATTTTTTAAAATTTTGCACGACCCCCTACCTTGTCAAAAAATTGAAAATTTTTTAAAATTTTGCACGACCCCCTACCTTGTCAAAAAATTGAAAATTTTTTAAAATTTTGCACGACCCCCTACCTTGTCAGAAAATTGTAAAATTTTTTAAAATTTTGCACGACCCCCTACCTTGTCAAAAAATTGAAAATTTTTTAAAATTTTGCACGACCCCCTACCTTGTCAAAAAATTGAAAATTTTTTAAAATTTTGCACGACCCTACCTTGTCAAAAAATTGAAAATTTTTTAAAATTTTGCACGACCCCCTACCTTGTCAAAAAATTGAAAATTTTTTAAAATTTTGCACGACCCCCTACCTTGTCAAAAAATTGAAAATTTTTTAAAATTTTGCACGACCCCCTACCTTGTCAAAAAATTGAAAATTTTTTAAAATTTTGCACGACCCCCTACCTTGTCAAAAAATTGAAAATTTTTTAAAATTTTGCACGACCCCCTACCTTGTCAAAAAATTGAAAATTTTTTAAAATTTTGCACGACCCCCTACCTTGTCAAAAAATTGAAAATTTTTTAAAATTTTGCACGATCCCCTACCTTGTCAAAAAATTGAAAATTTTTTAAAATTTTGCACGACCCCCTACCTTGTCAAAAAATTGAAAACTTTTTAAAATTTTGCACGACCCCCTACCTTGTCAAAAAATTGAAAATTTTTTAAAATTTTGCACGACCCCCTACCTTGCCAAAAAATTGAAAATTTTTTTAAAATTTTACACGACCCCCTTCCTTGTCAAAAAATTGAAAATTTTTTAAAATTTTGCACGACCCCCTACCTTGTCAAAAAATTGAAAATTTTTTAAAATTTTGCACGACCCCCTCTTGTCAAAAAATTGAAAATTTTTTAAAATTTTGCACGACCCCCTACCTTGTCAAAAAATTGAAAATTTTTTAAAATTTTGCACGACCCCCTACCTTGTCAAAAAATTGAAAATTTTTTAAAATTTTGCACGACCCCCTACCTTGCCAAAAAATTGAAAATTTTTTAAAATTTTGCACGACCCCCTTGTCCTTGTCAACCTTGTCAAAAAATTGAAAATTTTTTAAAATTTTGCACGACCCCCTACCTTGTCAAAAAATTGAAAATTTTTTAAAATTTTGCACGACCCCCTACCTTGTCAAAAAATTGAAAATCTTTTAAAATTTTGCACGACCCCCTACCTTGCCAAAAAATTGAAAATTTTTTAAAATTTTGCACGACCCCCTTGTCCTTGTCAACCTTGTCAAAAAATTGAAAATTTTTTAAAATTTTGCACGACCCCCTTGTCCTTGTCAACCTTGTCAAAAAATTGAAAATTTTTTAAAATTTTGCACGACCCCCTACCTTGTCAAAAAATTGAAAATTTTTTAAAATTTTGCACGACCCCCTACCTTGTCAAAAAATTGAAAATTTTTTAAAATTTTGCACGACCCCCTACCTTGTCAAAAAATTGAAAATTTTTTAAAATTTTGCACGACCCCCTCTTGTCAAAAAATTGAAAATTTTTTAAAATTTTGCACGACCCCCTACCTTGTCAAAAAATTGAAAATTTTTTAAAATTTTGCACGACCCCCTACCTTGTCAAAAAATTGAAAATTTTTTAAAATTTTGCACGACCCCCTACCTTGTCAAAAAATTGAAAATTTTTTAAAATTTTGCACGACCCCCTCTTGTCAAAAAATTGAAAATTTTTTAAAATTTTGCACGACCCCCTACCTTGTCAAAAAATTGAAAATTTTTTAAAATTTTGCACGACCCCCTACCTTGTCAAAAAATTGAAAATTTTTTAAAATTTTGCACGACCCCCTACCTTGCCAAAAAATTGAAAATTTTTTAAAATTTTGCACGACCCCCTTGTCCTTGTCAACCTTGTCAAAAAATTGAAAATTTTTTAAAATTTTGCACGACCCCCTACCTTGTCAAAAAATTGAAAATTTTTTAAAATTTTGCACGACCCCCTACCTTGTCAAAAAATTGAAAATTTTTTAAAATTTTGCACGACCCCCTACCTTGCCAAAAAATTGAAAATTTTTTAAAATTTTGCACGACCCCCTTGTCCTTGTCAACCTTGTCAAAAAATTGAAAATTTTTTAAAATTTTGCACGACCCCCTACCTTGTCAAAAAATTGAAAATTTTTTAAAATTTTGCACGACCCCCTACCTTGCCAAAAAATTGAAAATTTTTTAAAATTTTGCACGACCCCCTTGTCCTTGTCAACCTTGTCAAAAAATTGAAAATTTTTTAAAATTTTGCACGACCCCCTACCTTGTCAAAAAATTGAAAATTTTTTAAAATTTTGCACGACCCCAAGTCCTCATAGCCTCTGTGATCTTTCTAACCAATCGTTCCAGGTTCTTTCTAGCCGTACTAAGAGCCACGTTTCTTACCCATGCGACTGCTCCACAAGTTAGGAGCGGCACGACCATAACGATATACATTCACAGCACGACAGGGTTGCCCATGTACATACAGCTTCTGACTCTGCCAAAGAAGTTTGGAATCAAATACCACCCCCATATATTTGACCACTGATTTTCTCTATACAGCAGCTCCGCACACGCAAATTGTGCGCAGATTCTCCAGCTTTCTTCTTTTAATGAAAGGTACCAGACTTGTCTTGCCAGGGTTAAGTCTGAGGCCTGCAGCATCGCACCAGGTCTTGGCCATCCTTAATCCCCTTTGGACTATGTCACAAAGAGTCCCGTCAAATTTGCCCCTGTTTGCAATATCATCGACATAAGCCTGAACAACAATTCTTGACAAAGCAGCTCATCAAGGAGTCCGTCTACGACCAAACTCCACATTAGCGGTGACAAAAGTCTCCACCTTGTGGACATGAAATTTGTTATTTGTTTGAGTTTTTATAAATTTGTTATTACTTTAAATTTTTGTAAGTTTTACAAGTTTTAGTTAATGAAAATAAAATTTAATTATTATTATGATTAACTTTTGATTAAACTGCTGCCTCAGGGTTAATCCACAACAAAATTCCTGATCAAAAACTCTTTTGAAACTTTTATAGCAATTCCTATCTTGAATATCTTTGGATACTCATCTCAATTTTTTATAACTTGGGGTCTTAAACGTTGCAGAAATAAAAATGGATGTCTATATAATTAACTTAATTTTGAATTCTATATTGAACTGATAGACCGAAAATGTTTAGAATTGATTGGAAATTAATAAAGGTTTTGAATACACTGTTAAATGCACGGTTGAAAATTAACTTTTACTTGCATATAATTTGAAATGAATTCTGCCAATTGCAATATTTAACTTATTAAAAATTAAAATTTCATAAGAAATTGTCAATCAAATTCGGAAGTCATTCAATATGCTTTTAAATAATTCATGATTTTATAAACAAAAAAAGTAATTGTAACGACAAACACAAACATAGTTAGTACAATTATTCTCTTACGTCTAAGTAATTATAATTCAAAGAATAACTTCAATTAAAAATGCAAATCTCGATCCAAACCGAGTAATACGAGTATAAACAAAAAAAAAATATTGTTTACTCTTATGGCGATTGCAATAAATTTTTTCTTTTACATTCTTTTAGCCCTTTTAATACTATCATCGCATCATATCGCTTCCCTTTGATTAACTTACTTAGCATAACTCAAAGAAATTGAAGTTTTAGTGATTTTATTAAACAAACTTGTATGCGCCACTTCTCAAAAAAAATTTTTTAAGTATTAATTGTTGGCTATTAAAAATAAATACCATAAAAATAAATTTCAGTTCCAAAAACATTTCATCAAATAAAAATTATGATTGTAAATTAAGTATAAGAGAAATTTTTTATACACGGCGTGTACTGGAATTTTGTTTTGAACACATTAAAAAAAGTTTAATGAACTCACCTGATCACATATTATGTCCCATTTCTTTTCATCATCGTAATTTTTCAAAAGTTTTGCCTTATCTGGCGGTAAATCCATAGAAGCCTATAAAATAAAAGTAAAAAAAAAAAATGAATTAAAAAATTTAAGTTATTTTTATTTTTGCTGTTTTTTACTTAAAATTTATTACAAAAGCTTACAAAAAAGTGAATGATTTAGGTTAAAAATTTTTCATACTAATAAGTAATAATTAAGATGGAAAATTATATAGGAATTTAAAATTAATTTATTAAATTATAAGTGTTGCATTAAATTGCAAAGTTCATAAATATAAAAATTAAATAATTACATATTAAAAAGTATTTGAAAACACACAAGGAAATTAATAGTGCATTATTTTTTTTGTAGACTCTGCTGGGTGTCCAAGGTTATTAATTTTAAATTTTACAAAATTTTTAACAAAATTTAAATGTAGAATTGCACCATTAAATGCCGCCATTTGTATAAAATTATTGAATAATTAATAATTACTAAAAGTAAATTAAAATGTTAAACTAATGGTTGCACATGTTGATTGACTTGCCCGCAAGCAAGTGTAAATTCATTAAAAGTTTGAAATTCAATTTTATCGTTTGTTTTAATGAATTCGATACGAAAAATTATTAGCTGACTGATCATGCAATTAATTTTTAGATTTTGAAGAAAAATACGCTATTATACGCGCATATACAATATTTTAATGGCATAATGAATTTTTTAATTGGCAACACTAACAAAATTCTCTCCATTGTGCATACGCATTTTATGCATTAATTTATAAAAAGGCGTAAGTAATGGAGTAGAGTTGTGATGCATGTTTATTCCGGTAGACGGCTTGATATTTTTAATATTTAACTTAAATTCCTGTACAACAGACTTCCTATACAAATATATTGATATTATATTTTATTAGCATAAAACACTTTTTTTTGCTCAGCCAATTGCTGAGTCGATTTAGTCCGTCAGTTTTAGTGATATCACAAAGACTAATTGAACTCCTTAAAAATAATTTTTAATAGTGATAGTAAATGGTAGAACCGTAAATAAAACAGTTAGAGTATACAAACGAGATAGCGTTTCGAATAACTACCATACAAATTCAAAATTATTTGGTCATAAAGTTAGAAATATCTCCAAGGAAATAGGACAGCAGTTTTCGAATGCTTAGGAAACACTATTCAAAACAATTACCATGTCAGGCAGCAAGTATCGGGCAGTTGAAAAGGATGCGTACAGCGGTTTCGCCACTGTACCCACAAAATCTTCACAAAAGAGAGCTCGATTTTCCCAGAATATATGGTGATATTTTACTGGGCAGTCGCAATAGCACCAAACAGATTTCTATTTATTTCAACAACTCCGTTGCTAAACATTCTTGATTGCGATGGATGAAACATTTTCGCATTCCCAAGCGCGCAGATAACTTCACGACAAGAAGGCCAGCGACTGTACAAAATCAGCTCTAACATCCATATCTAAGAAACTATTAAAATTACACTACTGAATGAATGAAAAATAATTTTGAATGAATGAATATAGTAACAAAGCCAATAAACAAATGCAAGAAGAAAAATAATTTCAGAATATTTTGTGAAAGTCGCACAGTTTTAGTCTACCTTATCATTAAGTGTTTGCGAACTAAAAACAACACTGCAAGTATTAGAAAAATTATATTTTATAAAACAGTTTTAAATTTTCCATGTTCACAATTTTTCATGTTCAAAATTTTCTACAGACAAAAAATTACTAATTCCATATTTTAAAATTGTGTACAGTAATTTATTAGATTTCAACAAATGAAATATTGTCTGAAATATTTGTTCACATATATTACAACAAAAACATCCTACACGAATACAAGCACGTCACCATATACAAGTTCTTGTATTATCTAACGTGTAAGCATTATATGTACATATACTAGAAACAACAAAAAATAACACAGCATAAAAGTTAATTTAAAAATAAATTAATCTCTATGTTTACTAAATGCTTAATATTTTAATTCTTCTTGGAATTGATAGTCAAAAAAAAAAAAGATATAAAAGATAGATATAAAAGATAGAAAAGATAGTCAAAATATTAATTAAATAATATTGCACCAAAGAATTTATAGTAATTTTCAAAAACAATAAAAATAATAAAAAATTAAATTTATTTTTCGAATATCGCGTTTTTTTTAGGGAGAACTCTTCCTATATAATCTAATACCCAAAATTTCTCAATGAAAAATGAATGAAAAAACCCGAATTAATGGTGTAATTTCGTCGATTTCTGAATGTAAACAGAATAAAATTAAAAAGTTTTCTGTAGAAAATTTCGGAAAATAAAGTACAAATGATATTTAAGAATAAATAATTAAGTGTTGTTCTTAAGCGTAAAAGTACGCTTTTATTTTAAATAGTAATTTTCTTACTTAAAAATTGAATTTGAATTCAAAAAATTCTGTATTTTTTTTAAATTAATAAAAAAAATGGAATTATAAATAAAAATATTGTTTACATTGAAACGATTTTAAAATTTTATATTATTACCGATAATTAAAATCATTAAATAATTTAAAATATTATTAAAATAATATTTGCGTAAGTAAATTCTAAAATTAGAATTTTATATTTAAGTCAAATTTGAACAATAATTTGGAAATCTTGAGCATTACTCTTGGGATTTCATAACAGAAATAAAAATAAATTAAAATTTAAAAAAAAAATCTAAGTATTCATTTGTCGGTACCTCTTCCTCTTGATCGAACTAGACGAACCACAATGTAATAATAATGATTTAATGTACGAGTTTAATTTTGTTTTTCAATAGGAACAGTAGGTTACTGACTCAAGTTCCGCACACGAAAAAAGTTTCGATACAAGTAAATTCGAAAGTTTCGAAACATTTTTGAACCTACATAGAAAACTATTAAATTTCTTTCTCGGTAGAAGTAAACTTTATGTCATCCGAATTTTCTAAAAAATTGGTTATAGTTACTTCCGACAGCAAACTTAACTCAAGTATTAAATTTCAAGAAATTGCGTAACTCGTTGTAAAAGTTCCATTTCTGACATCTGAAAAAGTGAATCAGTTCATGGATTGACGGCCAAAAATAAACTCATATATAAAATTTCATCATAATCAGTTGACTGATTATGATGAAATTTTATATATGAGTGTGACTTGTGAAATTGAAGCATACGCCAAGCGATTGCGAGTTTATTCAGCCGCACCAGGAAACTCCATAAAATAATTATTAGGCTAACTTTCATTCAATTCGAAAAATTCATCATTTTCAGTAATATAAATGCTGTTATAAATATAATAATAAGATTAAGAAGCTCTCTTATTTACTTAAATAAAAATAGCAAAAACAAAAAAAATAAAAAATCCTTCCTGTATAAAATTCTTTCCTAAAGTAGATCAGTTTTCTTTAAGAAGGCAATCTTTGTACTTTAATATTAAATTACTTTTAAATCCACCCTCCCTACACATCAGTTTACATTCTAATATTTTGTTCTTATTACTTATTCAGTTATTTTTAGAAATATTTAAAAAAAAAAAACTAATATAAAATCCCCTTATGTTTTCTGTTGAATTAATAAAAATCTTTCATCAGAATCTTGATAATTACCTAAGTGTATACAAAGCGTATAACTAAAATCACTCTAAGCCTATTAATGAGTTTTTCTTTAAGTATAGAGTTTTTTCTACGTTATGTTAAGAAACTTAAAAATATTAGAACCACACTGCAATACCATCTGCAATACTATTGGATTCAGTTTGTGCACTGTACATTTAAATATCTAAACGCGTACTTTTATACTAGGTAATAATTTTTATTTCTGCGTTATAGTGATTCGCAACCTTTTGCTTGTGACAACAGCATACTTTAAATGGAGGTAAAATATAAAAAACTTTAGAGGCAAAAGAAATTTACTTATTCGCATTTGATCACTCATCATTTCCGTCGTCATCCTCCAGATCAATTTTTAGAATAGTTTTGAAAAACAGGCCACAATTTTACAAAATGCTGTTGCAATTAATTGAAGGTGTAATAATAAAGCATAACTTGTGATGTTGTCCTCTACACACAAAATATTCTTAACCAATAGAGAATTGAATTGCTGACCATTGATTTAAATAAATTTCGTTCATAGCTCAAGAGCACCGCGACACAGCTGTTATATCACTATTCAAAGAAAACTTTTTGTTATGTCACTAAAAGCAAAATATTTAATATTCATAGCAAAATGAAATATATTATGTGTATATACTTAAAATGGAAACCTCACAATGCCTTAGTCATAAGCAAAGGTCAATGTAGACCAGAAAACAGCAACTGTTTTCCGCCCATGGGTCAAAATCCAATCACTTGACTTCACTTTCAAAACTAACGTGGGTTACTTGAAATTCCGTTTGTTTCAATTCACATAGTTTGCACAACCCTAGCCTAGACCCTTTTATAAATAAACACTTATACATATATTATTACATAATATTATTTTTAAACTTATATGGAATAAAGTGATGATCTTATTTTGTATAGTAAAGTTGATGATGGTGGTGATGGTGACAACGAAAATACAATATAAGAATAGTGAAAATGCATTCATGTAGGCACACATAATTCCAAACTTCAAAAAAAAATTCCATTCCATTATAGAAATCATTGATAGTGTTGAATTGACTATATACGATGGGATCTTGAACTTGAATAATATTATTGTATAAGGCAACATATGTGTTGTAAAATTCCATCATCTTCATCATTTTTATTTCATTTTAGATTTGTGGCTATAAAAAGATCTTAAAATGTTATTCTTAAAATGGAAAAATTCTAAATTAAGCGTTTGATCATTTCATAAATTTTATATACATATATTTATATTTAAGCATTTATGTGCACACATATTAAGAATTTATATTAAGAACTTTTAAGTTATATTCCCATACTTAGTATTGGTATTGAAAATTCTTGAAAAAATTTACAAGAAATTCTAATGGACGGAAAATATTTAAGTTGAAAATTATTAAAAAGTTTGTGTTGATCGCCATTTTTTTGAAAAATATAATGATTT